TGTGATAGGATCCCATCAACGTGCAAGGCCAGCTGCAAGTGAAAATGCTAACCATAATCTTGGCATGTCTGCTTCTTCTGCAACACCTGCTACAACACCTTCATCCGAGAGAATTTTATTGCCAAGTGGTGGTACTGGTACTGGTGGCACTGAAACAGATGGTGTTGATCCAATCGATGTGGATGCAGGCAGCGATGGCGAGGATGGAAATGAACCTACTAGCAAAAGGGCCAAGAAAAGCACATCTGAAGTGTGGCAGTACTTCACCAAGTACAAAGTAACAGTGAAGGTTAATGGCAAGGAGGAAACTCAGCTTTGGGCTAAGTGCAATGTCAAAGGTTGTGTAAACAAGACCAGCAAACACAGAGCTGAGAGCAGATTTGGAACAACTGGCTTTTGGACCCATCTCGCTAATTATCACAGCATCAAGAAAGGACAACAACAGCTTACAACAAAAACTGATAAAGATACTGGCGTCGCAGTTGTCCAACCTTACAAGTATGATCAAGAAGCTAGCTTGAGAAAGTTCTATGAGGCTATGATAGTTCACGAGTACCCTTTTAATATGGTTGAGCATGAATATTTCCAAGAGTGGGTCAAATCAATGCGTCCACATTATCCTCTAAAGTCTCGTGTCACAGTTAGAAAGGAAATAATGGAATATTATTTGGCTGAAAAGGATAAATTGTATGCATACTTCAAAACAGTCCAAAGTCGCTTTAGTGCAACTATGGATATGTGGACATCCAACCAGAACAAGGGTTATATGTGTATTACTCTTCATTGGGTTGATGATGATTGGAAAATTCAGAAGAGAATTGTCAATTTCTTCCATGTGGAAGGGCGACATACTGGTGAGAGGTTGTCATATACACTTACTTCTTCTCTTTTGAAGTGGTATGTGGAGAAAAAGATGTTCTCTCTAAGTTTGGATAATGCAGCGGCAAATGAAGTAGCAGTTAAGGATGTCATTGTAGAATTGAAGAGGCATAGTCCTTTAGTATGCGATGGGCTGTTCTTTCATGTGAGATGTGCCAATCACATCCTTAATTTGGTTGTTAAAGATGGTATGCGTGTGATTGGCTCTACAACTGAAAAGATTAGATCGTTTGTGGTTGTTGTAAAGGGATCGACGGTTCAGTGGGAGGAGTTCCTGAAATGTGCTACTGAATGTGGGCTAGATACAAAACGTTCTCTCTCACTTGATGTTTCTACGAGATGGAATTCTACATATCTCATGTTGAGGAATGCTCTTTATTATAAGCTTGCATTTGAGAGGCTCACTTCCGTCGACCGCCGGAGGTATGAGTGTATTGCTCCTTCAAGTCAAGAATGGGAGAAGGCACAGGTTCTGATTCCTTTCTTGAAAAAATTCTTTGATCTCACTGAGATATTTTCTGGTACTCTATATCCAACAGCAAACATGTTTTTCAGAGGTTTTTGTGAGATTAAGTTATATCTATCTGATTGGTGCAATAGTAATGATGCCACTCTTTGCCAAATGGCAAATGCTATGAGTGTCAAGTTTGACAAGTATTGGAAGAAGTCAAATGTTGCTCTAGCTGTTGCAAATGTGCTTGATCCTAGGTTCAAGAGAAAAATTGTAGAATTTTACTTGAGAAAGTTATATAGAAATTCCTATCAAGCTGAACTTGATAAATTCAACGGTGTTCTAAGGAACATGTTTTATTGCTATGTTTCCTCAGTACCTTCTTCCAAGAATACAACACTTGTTTCATCAACTTCAATTATAGATCAATTTATGGATAGTGCGGAAGATGAGCTTGATTCATTCCTTTATGAAAGTGATGTTGGTGGTAATGATGAAGGAATAAGTGAATTGGAGAGGTACTTAGCAGAACCACAATTGAAGGTTGCTAAAGCCAACCATAATACTTTTGATATTTTAGCATGGTGGAAAAATCAGAAGGATGAATATCCTGTGCTCTCCCTGATTGCACGTGATGTGTTGGCAATGCAAGTGTCAACTGTGGCTTCTGAATCTGCATTTAGTGCTGGTGGACAGGTCGTCGACCCATATCGAAGCAGCCTTGATCCAGACATGGTACAAGCACTTGTTTGCACTAAGGATTGGATAACTGCCTCTAAAAGAGGTGAAGTGTAAACTGATCATTTGATTTATATTAACAATGTGTTGATGTTCTTTCTACTCATATTGCCACCTTCTAATTTTCAGGTTCTAAGAATATTTCTTCTTTGCCTAGTGATCTTGAGGTTCTTGAAGCCATTAAGAATAGTCTGTTCATCGAGGTACAAATATTGATATGTACTGCAATAGCATATAATTCGTTTTTTAGTACTAACGTGTTATTTCTATTATTAATTGTAGGATGAATTCTCAGAAATGGGTGGTGATTATGTGCTTGGAGATGATGACATCCCAGAGGTTCAATTATAGGAGGCCTGCTGTGAAGAACTACCACCGGTCTATCATAAATCATAATTCTAGCATCCATTCTACATCTCGTCCTTTGTTAAGTTGAATTGTCGAAGTGTCAAACTAAGACCTTGGTTTAGTATTTCAGTCACTAGTATATTGGTACGTTTGAGTTTGTGAGGTTGTGACTACGCTTGTGTTATTTGTGTAATTGTGAGACTTAAGTATTGTTATTGTATTAAGTCCGTGATGTCATGCTATGCGGAATGGTGTGTTAATTAATTATTATTGTATTTCAGATACCGCTTTCGTGATTTTCGATCGTTATCGATGTACTTTTGATCGAATAATTTCGTTTCCGAATTTACCGGAATATCGATACCGTTCTCGCTACCGACAATATCGTATCGATTTCGTTTTCGAGACAACAATATGAAACTGAAAATAATTTAACCTCCTATCGATCGTTTCCGACCGTTTTCAGCCTTCCTCCGTACCTCATATATGTCTTGGGCTTATAACTCATGCATTGAAGTTCGATTTCAAGACGTATTGAGTTCCGTTGCAATGTATGGGCACTTTTGCTCGTAGGAAAGAAAAAAAATACATGCAATGTGAATTCTACCCATATGATTTTTGGTTGCAAACACTCAGGCTGGGCACCTTTAAGCCGAAAACCGCAATGAACCGAACCAAAATGACGGTTTTTTCAGTTTTTGTTTTCGGTTTCGGTTTTAATACCTGGGATGTTCGGTGGTCAGCTTCGGCTTCGGTTTCGCTAGCCAACCAAACCGAGAAACCGAGCGAACACCGACGAGTCCAGACTCTAGAATCCTGCTCTGTCATCTCCGCACTCAGCACACCCCGGCCCATTACCATCCCCTGCGCTACGCATCAGCACTCAGTAGAGGAAAAAAAGACTGCGCCACAGCGGGGCCAGGGCGCGAGGCGTCGAGGCCATGACGCCTGCGCTGCGCATCGCCGCATCGAGGCGGGGCAGGTCGCGCGGTGGCATCGGGGCGGGGTGGGGTCGCGTGGCGGCGCATCGAGGCTAGGGCGGGGTCGCATGGCGGCGCATCGAGGCAAGGCAGGGTCGTGCGGCCGCAGACAGCGATGGGGGCGCCTCGGTGGCTGGGCGAGGTGGCGCAGTGCCGCGGCCAACGTGAAGAGACGCGAGGGAGGTGCCGAGGTACGCACACCTTCTGTTGCTGTGAACTCGGTTTCTTCGGTGGAACCGATAAACCGAACCGCAAAAACCAAAACCGAATCCCCCCACAGATTGCTCTGTACTCGCACTTCACTTCTCCCCGCTCCGCCCACTGCCTCCACTCGCTATCTCCCGCACTCACTCCGCCTGCTCCCCCACACTCGATCTCTCCTGCACCGCTCCTCTGCCCGCTTTCCTGCCGGCTCTCCGGGCCGTCCCCGGGGCAGGGACACCGCGCGCCGCGCCCGCCCGCCCGTGCTCCCTTCCTCACTCCGTCCCTCGCCCTCCGTGACCTCCATGCACCCCACTCTCCCTGCGACCCGGCTCCTGCACCCCCACCGGAGACAAGGACGACAGCGGCGGCTCCGACGAGGTAGCTCGCAGAGGGATCTGGATCTGAGGTCTGCTCCTCCTCCTCTGGATCTAGATCTGAGCCCTCCTCCTCATCATCATCCTCCTCCTCTGGATCTAAGGGATGCGGCGGTGGCTAGGGTTCCGACGAGCTCTCGGGGTCAGATCTCGCCGTGTTACACTGGTTTTTTTGATGTTGCAACAGATAATTTTGAATGTTGCAATGGTATTTTTTTGGGTTGTTGCAACAGATATTTTTGCGATGTTGTAGTACTACTGCTTGAGATGTTGCAGTACATTTTTTCGAATGTTGCAGCATAAATTTTTGATGTTGCAGTACACATTTTTTTGATGTTGCAGTATATGTTTTTTCGATGTTACAGTACATGTTTTTCAATGTTGCAGTACACATTTTTTCGTTGTTGCAGTAGATATTTTTCATTGTTTGCATCATATTTTTTTAGATGTTGCAGTGCATGTTTTTTAATGTTGTGGTAGATATTTTTTCGATGTTGCAGTACATATTTTTCGTTTGTTGTAGTAGATATTTTTCGTTGTTGCAGTAGATATTTTTCATTGTTGCAGTGTATGTTTATCAATGTGGCACTACGTATTTTTTTATGTTGCAGTTGGGGAAGGGGGTGCGTTGGGGAAGGGGGGACAGGACAGCGCTGGGGAGCGGAGCCGTTGTCGGGGCACGACGCGGGTGGGGTGCTCTCTGCGGGGTGAGGCAAACGGATGGGGATGGGGATGGGGATGAGGATGGCGATGGAGATGGGGACAAGGTGCGGAGGCGCGAGGTGCGGACATGTAGGGCGTGCGCGGGGGCATCCCGATGGAAGCGGGCTCGGTTGTGGGCGATGGGGATGAGGTTGGGGATGGGGACGAGGTTGCTGGTTGTGGGCGGGGAGGGGACGTCTAGTAGTTCCTATATGTATAGGTATCTCAGCTGCTATATGGGATCTTCTAGCATAGGTATCTCGGTACAAGTTTATGCAAACAGCCCAAAAACACGCGCGGCTTCCAAGAAAGCAGCTGCGACATATGGAGGGCGCCAACGGCTGCGGCATCCATGTCGTCTCCCAGCGCATGGTGCGCCCGTTGACGCCGCCGCCGGCGACGATGATGAACGGGAACGGCTGCCATCGGCGCAAGGAGGAGGTCGAGGTGATCCACTTGACGCCGTGGGACCTACGCCTGATCAGCATCGACTACATCCAGAAGGGCATCCTCCTGCCCAAGCCTCCATCCGACGGCGACAACGACCTCGTCAACGCCCTCGAGTCGTCGTTCGCGCGCGCCCTGCGTCTTTTCTATCCGTTCGCCGGCAGGCTCGCCTCCGAGGAGCGCGCCGGCGACGGGACCGTGTCAGTGTTCTTGAGGTGCACCGGCGAGGGCGCCGAGTTCGTGCACGCGGTGGCGCCAGAGGTCGCCGTCGCGGACATCGTCTCCTCGCTGTACACGCCGCCAGTGGTCTGGGATTTCTACCTCTAGCCCTTGTTCTTGGCGCGGACGCCGCAATCGAGCGGCTTCCAGTGCTCGCCGTGCAGGTCACCGTGCTCGCCGACGGCGTGTTCATCGGCATGACGTTGAACCACTCTGTCGGCGATGGCACCGCATTCTGGCACTTCTTCAACGCCTGGTCGGAGATCAACCGAGCCGCTGGCGGCGGCGTTGGCATAAGTGCCGACCTTCCGGCCGATTTGTCAACGCCGCCGCCGGTGTTCAAGAGGTGGTTTCCCGAGACATGTCCGGTGCCGATCCCCATGCCATTCCGCAAGCTAGAGGACATCGTGCGGCGGTTCGAGCGCACGGCGGTCAAAGAATGCTTCTTCACCTTCCCGCGGCGAGCGTCAAGAAGCTCAAGGCGCGGGCCAACGGCGAGATGGCCTGCAGCGCCACGGCCACCATCTCGTCGCTCCAGGCGGTCCTGGCGCACTTCTGGCGCGCCGTGTGCCGAGCCCGGCGCCTCCCTCCTGAGCACGGCACGCTCTACTCGGTGGTGGTCGGGTGCCGCGGCCGCATGAACGGCATACCGCCGGGTTACGTCGGCAACGCCTTGGTGTTCGGCAAGGCGGAGGCCACCGCCGGCGAGATCGAGGAGAAGGGGCTGGGCTGGACGGCGTGGCTGCTGAACCGCGCCGTGGCGTCGTTCGACGAGGCGACCATGAGGGAGTCGCTGGAGCGGTGGGTCCGGGAGCCGGACTTCACGTACATGGACAACCTGTCCTCTGCCGGCACGGCGCTGGTGACCGGGAGCTCGCCGAGGTTCGACGTGTTCGGGAACGACTTCGGGTGGGGGAAGCCGCTGGCCGTCCGGAGCGGCTCCGGGAACAAGGCCGACGGCAAGGCCACGGTGTTCGAGGGGCCAGAGCGGGGAGGGAGTATATCGCTAGAGGTGTGCATCGCGCCGGACGCGCTCGAGAGGCTCGTCGCCGACCAGGAGTTCATGGACTCGGTGAGCACGCCGGCGGCGTGATGAGGTTGATGCATGATCGACCGTGCATTAATCACCTAGTTGACAACAAGCTGTCATGCATGTTCATACATGCAGGCTATAATAATGTTGGTTGCATGTGCGTGCATGTATGTCCGGCACTTCACCTCCGTAGAATCAGCTCTCATGGTTTATTATTTAGGCTCCGTTTGGCACGGATCCACTTCACTTATGAAGCCTTTTTTGAGGCTTTAGCTCCATGAACAGCTCTATGGGTGGAGCTGTAGCCGCTTTTGATAAATCGTTTGGCAAAACAGCTTCACATAATATGCTCTCGTGAGAACGTCACGTAGAATGAATGATGTGAAGCCGCTATTTTTGCTCATTCCCACCCCAAAGCTCGTGGAGAGCACGCTTTTTATGGGCTTCATCGGTGGAGCCGTTTTATTTTACCCGTTTGGCGAGAAAACGGCTCCAAGCGGCTTCTAAGTTATGAAGTCAACTTGTTGTTTACGAGTTCTCTGAATTGAGTCAAACAATTTGAAATTGTGAAGTTATAAATGTCGTGTTTGAGGATTGGTCACCAATTCCTAGTTCAAATATCAGGATATGTACGTACTTCATCAGCCAGAAGCATAATGTATTCATCAAATATTGAGAATTAGGAGAGCTACATATATTTATGTTGGGTGTGGTCAGACTAGCTTTCATGCCTTATTATTTGTCTTTCAATGCCATTTATTTTGTTATTTTCATAATTATGTTGAACAAATCCTCAATGATATAATAAGTCCATGGCATCTTATGCTCATCCCACAAAAACACACATATTTAGTGTGTATATCTTTAGTCCTAATAAGTGTGATTTGACATTATCAAGGGAATATTTGTGTTATGTATAACAAATATTACCATTTATTATAGAGGCAACTTCATTAGAGGGTTATGTGGGTGTCGGAGCTTGGTATTTTGCTTTGTTTGTGCATCAGATGACCAAAATATAATGTAAACCTTGACTGAGGGTTATAATAGATAAATAAGTAACTGAATATGTTGGAGAAAACGGCAAAGTAGATGAACTCAAAACATGAACTTTGCAATATTAGAAAAGCAACGTAGTAGTACACGTGCAAAGCCAAAACTATATATCTAGGTTGGGATGGATCGGACTTTAATTTCACATGGCATTTGATATACTTTCACATTATATAATCATGGTATAGTCAGCACTACAATAGTTTTTAGTTTTTCTCATTATTTGTAATTTAATGGTAGTTCTTATAGCACATATGAAAAACAACCTCATCACCAGAAGTGTGGATGATTCAGACGTTTTGAGATCCATATTTCAAAAGTTTCCCTACGGTAAGAACTAAGACTTGATATATTTGTGTTTTGTAAGGAGAAATACATTTGTCATGCTTTCATGGAGATGATGTCATACACACTCACATATGTTATGTATCCTGCTAATGGTATTAATTAATTTTGTAATTACATTGACAATTGTTCTTGGGATATTCTAGAAAGCATAATAAGGGCAGAAAAATCATTTAGGAGTATTTCAGGAAGTAGATTGCAAGAATAAAGAGGTTTTCAACATTTATCAAAAAGGAACACTAAAGCAACATTGTTGAAAGATAAAATTATCTTGTCAAAACCGATACAACTTGAATTCATTAAAATATGAATAAAGTTTATTGGCGGTTCTTGAACTTGGCCGGATGTGCAAAAAGGTCCACAATCATTTTGTATTTTTAGGTACACGGTTGGTTGGTGGGGTGCTGCTGGTTCAAACGGGTCTCATAGGGCAACACATGTTCTTCATAGGGCAACACATTATCGGACCAGCTTCTAGGCTATGTTACAAAAGGAAGATACTCAACAAATGATGAAAAAGGCATGTGGAACCTTAGAAACAATGGTCATGGCGATTTTTGCTAGGCATTGGTGGTTGTTTATTCATGTGCTCAATGCTTGAACTTTTACCTTGCCTTAGTTGCTTTAAACCTTAGATATTTGTTGGCACTTTAGTTTGGTTGCATTCTCCACCACAGACATGATCTCGAGACCTGCAATCTTGAATGGTTGCCCCTGCATGCCTTATGTAGAGGAGAGGCTGGAATAAAATTCCTTACCTAAAAAGGACTTACTCATGTTTGGTTGAGAAGACATGCATTTGTCATGTTCCTAGAGAGTTGGTGCTAGAGACAGGTCACATATGCTATCTTTCATGGTCTTCCAATATATATCCATTTACTATATATATTTAATTTTGTATGGTGGGGCGCCTTTGGTGTCCCAGCATAGCATGTTCCAAACCCTAGTAAAGGAGAAGGGTTGTGTTAGGCACGGCATGCCAATATAAAAACTTAGCCACTTTTATGGAGATGAAACCCAAAAGAATCCCATTAGGGCGTAACCCTCTTAGCGACGCGCCATGTTGGAACCCGGTTATGGTGTTAAATGAGCAAGGGCCGGAACATCACCCCCGTGACGTGCCGTGTCGCAATCTAGGCACGGTGTCAAGTGAGCAAGGATCGGGTCGTCGCACCCTTAGTGGCGCGCCACATCGGTGCCGGGTGTGGTGCAAAATGAGCAAGGGTCTTCACACCTACCTCGACGGGTGCGAAGGGTAAGTAAGCTAGTTGAGCCAACTAGGATCCATTTAGGTAGCTGAAATGTAGGGTCCCTTATGGGTAAGTTATAAAAGTTAGTGGACACAGCGGTTAGAAGACGTGTAAATATCTTTTGCGTCCAAGAGACTAAATGAAAGGGGCAGAAGGCAAAGGAGGTGGACAATACCGGCTTCAAGCTCTGGTACACAGGGACAACTTCAAATAAAAATGGAGTAGGAGTTTTGATTGATAAGAGCCTCAAGGATGGTGTGGTGGAGGTGAGAAGGCAAGGGATAGGATCATCTTAGTTAAACTTGTCATTAGTGATATGGTCTTAAACGTAATTAGTGCGTATGCCCCAAGTAGGCCATGATGAGAGTGCTAAGCGGCTTTTCTGGAAAGACCTAGATCGCTTGGTTAGAGCTGTCCCTAGTAGCGAGAAGCACTTTATAGGAGATGATCTTAATGGCCATGTAGGTACATCAAGTGCAGGTTTCGAGGCGGTTCATGGGGATTTCGGATATGGTAGTAGGAACCCGGAAGGGAGAGGAAGTCTTAGACTTCACCATAGCTATTGATCGATGATAGCTAACACTTTCTTCCGTAAGAAGAGACAGGTCCCATTTAGTGACCTTTAGTAGCGGCCAAGACTCTAGTCAAATCAACTTTGTCCTTACAAGAAAGAGAGATAAACGAACATGCGTGGACTGTAAAGTGATACCTGGAGAATGTGTGGTCGCTCAACACAAGCTGGTGGTGGTTGACTTCCGCTTTCTGGTGCAAGCTCGTGGGAACAAACAAGCTAGGGTTGCTATAACGAAGTGGTGGAAATTAGAAGGGAAGGCATTAAAGGTCTTTAAGGAAAATGTCATTGAAGAGGGCCCTTGGAATGATGAAGGCGATGCAAACAACATGTGGGAGAAGATGGCAACATGCGTTCGGAAGGTTGCTTCAGAGTTGCTTGGAGTGACCAAAGGGAGCGGATGCGACTCGAAAGACACTTGGTGGTGGAATAAAGATGTGCAAAAAGCTATTAAGGAAAAGGAGTGCTAAAAGCGCTTGTATCATGATAGGTGTGCAAACAACATAGAGAAGTACAAGGTGGCAAAGAAGACTGCAAAATGAGTGGTGAGTGAGGCAAAGGGGCAGGCCTATGAGGACCTTTACCGATGTTTGAGTACGAAGGAAGGAGAGAAGGACATTTATAGGATGGCTAGGGCTCGCGATAGGAAGACAAGGGACTTCAACCAAGTCAAGTGCATAAAGGATGAGAGGGAGCAGCTCTTGATGAAGAAGGATGAGATCAGACATAGATGGCAAGAGTATTTTGATAAATTGTTCAATGGTGAGAACGAGAACACCACCGTTTAGCTGAACGACTCGTTTGATGACACTAACCGGCGCTTTGTGTGGAGGATTCAAGAATCAGAGCTCAGAGAAGCCTTGAAAAGGATGCAAGGAGGCAAAGCGATGGGCCCTGATGGTATCCCAATCAAGGTGTGGAGATGTCTCGGGGATATAGCTATAGTATGGCTAACCAAGATGTTCAACAATACCTTTCGATCGAACAAGATACCTGAGGAGTGGAGAAGAAGCATATTGGTACCAATCTACAAGAACAAGGGAGATATCCAAAGTTGTACTAATTATCGGGGAATTAAGTTGATGAGCCAAACTATGAAGTTATGGGAGAGAGTCATCGAGCAGCGCCTAAGAGGAATGACGCAGATATCAATAAACCAATTTGGTTTCATGCCTGGAAGGTCAACCATAGAAGCAATCTTCTTAATAACACAAGTTATGGAGCGGTTTAGAGAGCAGAAGAAGGACCTCCACATGGTTTTCATTTACTTGGAGAAGGGTTATGACAAGATACCAAGAAATATTATGTGGTGGGCTTTGGACAAACATAAAGTCCCATCAAAGTACGTGACCCTCATCAAGGACATATACAACAATGTTGTGACTAGTGTTCGAACAAACGATGGTAACACAGATTATTTGCCTATTAAAATTGGACTTCATCAAGGGTCAACCTTAAGCCCATATCTCTTTGCTTTGGCAATGAATAAGGTTACCAGGAACATACAAGGGGATATCCCTTAGTGTATATTGTTTGCTGATGATGTAGTGTTAGTGGACAAAAGTCAGGCAGGAGTAAATAGGAAACTAGAGTTCTGGCGGTAGACCCTTGAGTCTAAAAGTTTTAATTGAGCAGAACTAAAACCGAATACATGAGATGTGACTTTGGCGGAGTTGCACAGGAGGAGAGAGATGTGAGTTTGGAAGGTCAAGTAGTGCCTAAGAAGGATAACTCTCGGTATCTGGGATCGATGCTATAGAGGGATGAAGATATTGATGCAGACGTTAGCCATAGAATCAAAGCGGGGTGGATCAAGTGGCGACAAGCTTCTGGCATTCTCT